ACCTGTCTCACCCATTGACTCTTCAGTCTACATTTTCACTGACTACCTGTCTTGTATGCATACTAGCCCAGCCCCTGGCTTCTTTACTTTTCATTCCATCCAGGAAGAGCGCACACCAACTGCTGTAACTTCCTTAGCCTGACGAAAGGTTTTTGAACCTGAAAGCTTGCTTAATAATTATTTTCCAACTATTTAAGTTGGTCTAATAAAATATATCAGATTCACCCAAAGAACCTTGTCTGCCTATGGGCCTCTCTACTGCATTATTTGCACAATATCTATCCTCAAGTAGCTTGCATACCTGCTACACAGTCAGAAGAGAGATCCATCCAGGCCCTGTGTTCCTTCACAGGATTTACCCATCTTGCCCAGGATTGTGTGGCAAGGCAGACTGGAGATTCAGTAGCAATTTTTTTAAACAGTTTAGAAAATGAGGTTTTTAATTAATTCAGTATGACAGTGAATAAGAGCCAGATAGTCCTTATGTTGCACATTCTGATACAATATTCACTTTATTTCATATGTTGAATATTCAGTGTATTAAGTATCTGTAATGTGAAACTCCCTCAAGGCAGAAGCAGGCATTCTTACATCTGGGTAGGGGACAGTTAGGCTTTTGTCACCTGGGAATACAGTTATGGACTGTAGGAGACGTACTTTTTTTTCCATATTAATCCTAAGAAAAACAGTTAAATTTCACAATGAAATTGTTGTCTTTAGGTCTCAAATTCTCATTTCATAGAGAGTCAGCTCTTGCAGATGCAGGCAGATGACACCACTGCAATGTGCATTCAGAGTTTAATAGTTGTTAGGGGCTGGAAGGGACCTTACAGATCATTGGGTCCAGCCCCCCTGCACATGGGCAGGAAAGACTGCTGGGATCAAATGATCCCAGCAAGATGGGCATCAACTTGCATCTGGCAGGCTTTCTTCTGCATGCATCCATTCTTTTAAATCAAAACATAGATTCTGAAACTACATTCTGGATCAAGGTGGGAGATTTTGAAGCTACAAGCTGTAGTCATTTTGGGTTGTTTCGGCTGTAGGCACGTACATTTTTATAAAATATACAGTTGTTTTTATAATTAGCACTGCAATTTTACTTATTCCACCCAGCATTATTTAAGTCAATGTAAGTTTTCTCACTGACTTGAACAGGAGCTAGAGCAGGCTCTTCAGACCATAACTGAGCCTTGTTTTTCCTCCTCAAAATGGCAAACAAAACCATTCTTTATGTGAAACCATTAGTGAAAATCTATCTGCTATCTTTGAAAAATAAAACCAGAATCTATCTTTAGCTCATGCAGGTATTGGACTGTAAACAATAATCCCTATGAGATCAGTAACACCAGACTAAACTTCTCACTCTTGAGAATCTTGTCCTTTGTGTGCTACTGCTTTGTTCTGATCTTTCTAACTAATTTAATTTAATTGGGAGGAATGCTTTTTTTTCCTGTATGTGCATTTAATTAATGTGCCAGAACATGGTAATACTTTAAAATCTCATTACTGACTGTCATCTCTGTATACAAACACACTTATGAATGAGGGTTAGGATAAAGGAACCTGTTACAATTAAATTTGTGTTAAGTGATCTCTTAAGGCTACACAAACCTGACCATTTTATGGGTGGGGCAATCCTGTAATAGGGGAGGAACAGATTTGTTCATTTAGTGATAATTAAGTGGTCAATTAAGATGCATTCTTGCCTAATGAGGACACTATTTTCTCCGTATTCTAATTAGCAGTGGGGATAAACACAGCTCATGAAGCTGAATGATACTCATTCTGCCTGAGCTGTTCAAATGCAACAGCAGTGCTTTGGCCACTGCTGAGCCTACAATGGTCTGTGTTCCAGGTGCCTTCAAGTTTCCCATTTTGCTACTTGACTTACAGTGGTTAGTGGACCTACATATCCACCGCTCAAAAGTACATTTAGCACTCAGCAGCAGCTTGAGACTGCTTCCTGGAAAGGAAAAGGTGGTTCTGTGCCATACAGTGACCAGTAAAGACCAGCAGCTGCATGCAAGAAGCAAGTGCTGTTTTTGAAAACTGGTAGAAAGCTCTGGTAGGTGCTTAGCATTTGCTTCCGCAGAAAACAAACAGGACCAGGTAGCCTCATTTGGATACATTGTACTGTTGAGGTTATTGACCACACATGCAGAATACCACAACAGGAAAATCTTATTAGTGGAGCCTAATGTCCACTTTTTGTAATGCTGTAGCAATGTTTCTGTGAACTGTCTTGTCATATTGATCTGCATAGAGTGCTTTTTACAGTATTTTAACTCCTGAATTTGAATTCTACGTCATTGTCCTCATGACATTGAAAAGAACAGCTCTGATTCATCTTTGAATGGACAGTGTTTACAAAAAGCATTTTAGTGGGATTACAGAATCTCTGCTTTAGTTAATTTTTTTTATTTATTTTTTTAACGGAACT